AAATAATACACATGCAAGACATATCCACAGATGAATGCTTTAGTATTAAGCCCTGAGATTGTGCCAGACTGTTAAAACAAATTACAAAAATTATTTTTGTTTTCATACAAGTTCATTTAACTAATTTGAGCCGGAAGGGTCATCAACATCCTTATTACAGAAGAGAGAGAAAATAAAGCATGTTTCACTAGAGTGGGAGAATTGTCACTCTGATGTCTACATGAGGAGGAGATGGGAATTTAATTTCTGGTAACATTTTCAGTCTAGAAGGAAATAAACTAAACATCCTGCACTAAGCATATGTAATGATATCTTTAAAGGCAAAGAGGTAAAACCCACCGACTATCAGTTGGTACTTCTGCAGTGAATTAAAGCTATAGGCCTCAGTAGTTTTGCAAGGATACATTCTTTTGCAGGTACTGTAAATACTGGCTTCCCTTCACGTAATCAATGTTGCTGAAATGTATCTGTTCATACGCTGATCTTTGAAAATCAGATTCACATAACGCCAAGCGATATGCACAAGAGCTACCGAACAACGTAATTTAACAAAAACAATGCTCTTTACAAAGCTATCTAGTAAGTAACTAGAAAAGTCCTTCTAAAACTTTAAGCAAATAAAGCTGGATAAAGTAACAGCTACACCTGAATGAAAATTAATATTTCAAGAATGGTACTATGACTTTTTTTTTTTTCCCCCCCTTATGGATTGCTTGTGAACATATCTATCCTATCTTATGCTGCACAGGAGAAAAACAGAAATTTTAAACCATGGTGTCCTCAGAATTACAGAAGAGTACAGGCAGGCTCGATCGCACTCAGGGTGAAAAGAGCCTTGCTCTTGTGTATACAGCTCTGTGCAGGTAGGGCAGATATGGACAGGGTAAGAGAAGGCTTAAGAGGAGAGGAAAGATTGACTTCTCAAAGCTGTTGCAAATTTTTAATGTACATTTGTGTTTGCAAGACAAGGCGATATTGACCTCTCTTAAAGACTGTTAAGCCCGTTGGAGAATGAGAGGTGCAATTTGCAGAAGGAGTGGCTGCTGGGTGTGTGTAATGGGTGTTACTCAAAAGAGTGCTCGAGTGTTTCGCTTTGTACTGGTCACAGGAATGGTGGTTCCCCTTGCAAATGGAGAGACTTCTTAGTACTGGACGTTTCTGAGGAAATATTTTTTATACCAATTCTCAGTTCTGTTTGCCATGTATCTTTTTACCACTGCGAATTTTTGAAAGTTACTTTGCCCCTTTTTATCTGAGGTTTTCACATTTCTTTGGGATGTCAGTTCTATAACCTTATGCCAGAGAGGGTGAGACAGCCAAAGCACATGAAATGGCCTTGTCAGGTGTTTTTCTTAAACAGTAAGAAGTAATGCATTTTGTAGCTTTTAGGTTATGCTCCTGCCTGTCATCAGCGCTGATACTCGTCACCAAATGCTGTGCTCTGCAGGGTCACTACTGTTTTAACTGTTCCTTCTCCACCTCATCTCCTGCAGAATTTGTGAACGTGTAGCTCTTGTTCTGATTTTACAGGGTATTTGAAGCATATTTTCCATCCTATGCCTTTCTTTTTTACTTTCCATTTTTAAAAATGTGATTCTGTTCCCATGGTACGTTCTAATTTGGTTTTCTTCCCCTATTTATTCATGCTGGCTGTCATCCCATTTCAGCTGAATAACTAAACCACATTTCCCCTTTGAAAAGCAACGTGAAGGTCATTCTTTGATTCAGGCAGCAAGAGTTACTTACTGTATGAGTAGCATTTTGTTGTTCCATCTAAACTCATAAAAAGTATCACTCCCTGGGGAGGGAGAGTGGACTCTCTAGAATTACAAACTTGATGGGAAGGCAGTTGCTGACCAGCTCTCCTTGCCTGAGCTTCAGAGAATGATATATGTGCACTCCTGGTAAAGCTGCTTCTCAGCTACCCGGTGGAGAAGCCTTTGCTTTGAAATCTGACAGTTCCCAAGTTCTTGGAATGCAAAACTGTGAAATTCTGAGATTGCAATATAGATTATTTTTCATGTTTTCATTCTGTTTTCCGTAAAGACAGAGGAAGGGAATCTCTGTTGTTTCTGTAGCATTTTCAAAACTCCTTTGGAGTTTTGAAAAATGAAGTCTATTGAACATATCACTGTGGTAGCTCACTTGCCAGGCTATTTACTGTGATTTGTTTAATGAAATGTGTATTATTCTTTTATAAAATTATTAGTTTGAAATCAACAAAGCCATCTTGAAATTCACATAGACTGTGCCTTTTGTTGCTTTGTAGCGTTGTTTATACATTTTCTCTGAGCTGATGAGTGTAATTATACTTGTGATAGAATGTATGTAGCAATTGATGCAGCTGAACTCTATTCTTGACTCCTCCTTCAATGTGAGCAAAGTTAATCTTTCAAGAGCCAGTTTTTTTGGGGCCTATGCAATACTCACCAAGGTTCTATAAAGTGCAATTTACAAGGTGTAAGGATCAATATTTCACTGTTAGTATAAGCATATACTGATAAGTTAATTCTCTGACCATGCTAAGCGTAAGACAGTAGTAAATTGCTTGAAAAGGCTGAGTGGACTCAGTTGGCCTCTGCCCTCAACTTGTAGCCGTTACTGTAATTAACATGAAACATGACGATCCAAACAGCCTGATAATAACTGGTTTTCCTTCTCAGTCTTTTTTTTTTTTTTTTTTCTTCCTGGGTCAGAAACTGGTATTTCTTATTTGTGGATTATGAACTTGATTTCCATTTTTGAGTGTTTGGGGTATAATTCACACACAAAAGAAGTAGTACATTAATTTCCACCTGTTGCCTCTCTCCTTGAAAAATAAAACTTATTCTAATTGTTTACTGGAGACATCAAGAGTAAGAAAGAAATTGACATAAATTCTGTCAGCAGTACTTAACAATACCCTTCTTCATCAGGTATGAAATGATATATTTTTCAACTTTAATCTCTCTTAGCTGACAACATGAGAAAGAGCTTTATCATGACCAGTCAAGTTTCGTTTCAGCCGCTCAGTCTGTCTATGTAATGTGTTTAAAAAGTGAAGTCACTGCTGCAAATGATAACTAATTTTGGGTGTATATAGCCCTTCACATCACATAGTGTTTTGGAAATGTAAACTTGCACATTTGAGAAAGTTCTGACACTGGCACAAGAATGTTAAAGTGTCAATTTGTTGTTGCGAAAAGAGGAAATAGGCAGAAACAGAAAGAAAAAAAGAGATTTAATTGATGCCATGTTGCATTAGTAATCTGTAAATGTCATCAGGTAGTTTTAAGTCATTACTGTGAAACGTGATATAGGCATAAAACCCTCAATTCTGACAGTATGAATACATTGATTGCTAGGAGATACTCAGAACATCCTGTGAAATCTGCATTGTGTTCCAGTCTAGCAACTGGCAGGCAATAGGATGTTAGTACATTTTGCTTTTAGGTGGTTATCTAATTTGAGCTCTCAATATCATACATATACACATATATATTCGTCTGAATTGCATTTGTGTGAAAGATCACAGGTTTTAGTCCAGATACAAAACCTACCTCATTTTCTGCAGCTTGAATTTATATTGGTGTTTTACATTGGGTGTCATTTAGTATCATTTAGGTGACAGGTGTGAAAATATGAGAATAAGTAAACTTGGCCAGCAAGACAGTGTTTGCATTCTGAATATTTCACCTCAGAGATGAAACTCTTAGAAGTGCTGCAGGCAAATAAAATTCAGAGCATAAAGCAGTGTGTAGAGTAGCATGTTAAAGAAAGAAAACAAATGGGATTCTTTGCTGGACTACATATGGTACACCCATTTATACAAGTTCCAGGGTAGATTAAAACTAAGAGACTAAAAATAATGCTTTTACTCTGAAATGTGCTTCAGTTGTTTTAGTAATGCAAAAAACTGCTAGAATACTTGAAGATAAAATATAAAATGAATTGTTCAAGCAAAAATATTTGAGTTAAATACATAGTAATTAAATTGATTTATTATTAGTAACTTTTCAGGTCACTGACAAATGTGGAAGAGAACCAAGAAACTATTTATTCATATATTTTTGTTATGTCATGGCCAGGGCAGAGAGAAAGGGATTTTGTACTCAAATTACGTTTTCTATATATGAATGTAAATGACCACGTGAAGCTAGGAGCAGAAGAATCAAGCCCTGAATTTTAATTAGATATTCCAATCAAGCCACAGCCACTTAGCAATTTTGTTGTACCCTCTGTTTCTAATTTTAAGACTCTTCAGACTGGAGGACATGCTTTCTTTTGGTGATAGGCTGCCTTCCTTCTCTTCCTTTTAAAGCTGTAGTTTGGCAACTGTTTCATTCAATAGCAATGCTGACACAAGCGATCTCGTGCCCTTCAGTCCTTTCATCCCCTCCCATTTGTTCCTGCCTCAGTACCACATTTTCTCTTCATTTATGGGGACTTGTAATGGTCTAGGCTCAGCTGAAGAACTAATACCAGTTAAAAAAAAAAGCCAGGCAGATAAGAAAGTGTTGAGTTTTACTGTCATTTGCTTCCCTTCACGACCTCTCAAGCAGTCGAGCTAACAGATTTGAGGGACTGGTCTGGGCACTGTGATGTATACACGGGGCTGAAAGAATGCAGCCCAAAATAATTTTCTTTAAGACACAAAGACTTGAGTGGCTTCCTTAGAGTGTTTAATTCTTTTCCTGTTCACAGCTATTTTCACAATCCCAATGGATTTAATGCTATTACAACTTCTTTACCTACAAGTGTTCCTGCCAGTCAGTAGGGGATCAGGCCCATTTATTTGATAGTACTGACTGACATAAAATCATCCATGTAGTGACTGATAAATAAAGATATGAGTAAACCTGTTGGTAAATATGAGGAAGTAAACATGTTACATAAATATACACTGAAGTCTAATTAAGTGTTAGTTAAGCTTTTACTAACCCAGAACACAAAATCATATATCTGCTCTTTATTGATGAATGAAATAGCAGAAGGTTTTATCCTTTTCTTTTTTTTTCCAGGTGTGGAGCTGAATTCGTTGCGCCAAATGAAGATACAGAGACCTATGACAATGCTCACAGATGTCCGACAGCTCATATCAAGTGGAGGAAGCGTAAATCAAAAGAATGATGAAGGAGTTACCCTGGTGAGTGGGAATATGTAATCATCACCCTGTGGATATGCATGTACTGCAACTGTGTACTGGTGAGCATGTTTGCAAGGCAATTCTCTAAGAAGCGAAATGAGGTAATGAAATATTTTAGTTCTCATCTGGCCTTTTGAAAATAAATATATATCCATGTCAGGCATAGTACAGATTTTAAAATAAGCTGATGCAACATCTGTGCCTTAATGACAACTTTCTCACTTTCTTAGCCACTGAATATGCAACACAAAAATTTATAGCAAAAAAAAAATTGGCACTGTAGTTTAGAACTGCAGCAGACACTTGTGATCTCTGACATTCTGTGTAAGAGAGGGTCTGAAACTTCACTCAGTGATTCCTGGTTTAGGCTCATATCTTATGGCCGAGCCAGGCTAAAATACTGTTTTATGAAGGTATCCCATCTGGATTCTGTGTAATGAAGCATCCACCATATCAGCAGATAAGTATTCCTTCTTCCAAATTTCCAAGTTTTTGGCAGTCACTGGGTCTCATTGTACTTATTTCTGCTAATAGATCATCTATTCCTTTGTTTTTTCAGGATTGCTACTTCTTCAGCTGTCAAATCTTTTAAAAATTAATGTAATAAAATAATTTTTAAATTAATGTATTTTTCCCTAGATAGCATGTCTGTGGAACCTTCTCTTTGCGTATAAAATCTTCAACATCATTATCAATCAGTAAATGGTCATTAGTAACATTAAGATACTTGAATATAAAAAATTCTCTTGTGTTTTCCTGCAAATATTGTACTAAAATAATTAGAAAGCCACATTTTATTGAACAATATTGTTATAATTATTATTGATATTTCAACATTTATGCTCAATCACATTGTATGATACTGAATTAATAAATTAATACACTGAATCATTAGTATTTAGTTCCATCTTTTAATACCTGTGGGGTGTTTAAACTGTAGTTGAAAAAGTGATCAGCCTTATATCTGGGGTTGTTGAATCCAGACATTGGCTCTGTCTATACAGAAAGCTATGAATTTTGGGGTGGCCACCCCAAGGCAGTTAACAGTAGTTAAAAACGGGAGGGAATCAGGGGAGGGGTAGGAAAAAATGACACAACCTTTAGTTTCATTCATAAAAGCATTAATTTATCTTCCAGTTTTCTGACACATTTAAGATGAGCTGCTAAATCACAGTAAAATGCAAAGTTGTTTCTATTGTACTTTACTCTTACTGCTACTTTAGTCTGAATTGGCTTAGTTAAACTGAATTATGAACTTCTCAAACTATCACTGTATAAAACCTTTTCTGTAGGTAGCTGGAATAGTTGAAAAGCATGTCTGAAATATGCTTAACAGTACTGCAAATACTAGGAGGAAAGCACTGTGGATAGTTTGGGTTTTGTTTGCTTGGTGGGATGTTGGCAAGGGGGACAATTTTGCGTGAACGGTTTTTATGTTGAACTTTGATTTTTTGAACTTCTTTCATAGTCTTGTAACAAGTAGCTACAGAGTGGATCATTTTGCTTTTGTTAGAGATTTCTATTATGTGAAACTTTTGTCTGACAAACTGGTGGGAAAACCAGAATTTGTTAAACTGCTCTGTCTCTATTCATGGGTGTGGAGTCAGCCAGTCTGTGAAAGCTGTATGTGTATGAAAGGGTTCTGGGAGTAGTTTTGTGTTGCTCTACATCTATCTGTACAGGGAAAACAACAAGTATCTCAGTTTTAAGCAGTCAATGAGATTTGTTTTCTCTTGATAGAATGAATATGTCTAAGTCCATGTGTAAATTAAGATGAATCATGCAAAAAATTGATGCCATAAATATATAAATGCAGACATTCTCATAGATTCATAGCACATACATACAAGCACATGCAATACAGACACAGAATGATATATGGCAAAATTAATTTTTCTGCTAAATTCTCCTGTAATATTTTTTCTTTATTTTTTTATGACAGATTTCAGTCATAAAGTATTTCCTTTGTCCTGTGAGCTTTTAAACTACTTTAAAATAGCACTTGTCAAATTGATGTCTGAATAGAAAATGTAATTTCTTCCTTTAAAACATAAGACAAGCTGAAGTTATGTCTGATTATGGGATAATTTTGAGGATTTTGTACATATGAAATTAGAACATATTTAGCATACAGAATTGGTGTTCTGCCCCCAAGGCAGGGGTATTCTACCCGCTTTCGAAGGGAAGATTTTTGATGAGCTATGTGTTTCATTCCTTTGCATCAAGCGTGTTCTTAGAGAAAACTTTATGCATGCCTTGCTGGTGCAGCTGAACCAAAAATAGCAAATAAGGCAAATAATATCCTGGACTCTGTTTTTGGTGTCTCCTATGCTTGTGGTGACTTTGGAACTACACGGTTTTAGTAACAGGTTTATTGCAAAGCCTTTTACTTGCCATTAGCCATCCATTTCAATCCTCCGAAAAATAGTCTCTTTGTCTAACGTTGCTTCAAGGGAAAAAAAGTATGTAGTTGGGCTACATGATTTTGGGATACAAGTTACCACCTATAATCTCAGTTCTCCATTTCTGCAATCTTCCTGAGCCCTGTTCTTACTGACCATCATGACAATCAGCTCCTTCTGACAGGGGATAAGGAATTATATTATGCCAGTTTCCAAACGCAAATTTTGTCCCCTTTGCTCCCCGAAGGGGAGGGAATGTTTGAAATCACAGCAGAGAACCATGAGAAAATAAACATCCTTAAACTGTAACCTGGATCAATCTGGTCATATGAAATATGTGCCAGACTTAAGAAACAATTTCCACCAAAACCTGCAAATTACAATTTTTCCGTGATGCAGGATTCTTTATTCCATTTTCCTCTTTCAATTGACTATTACCGGAGCAAATAATCTGTATTGACCTACTATGTGTTTCTCTGTGATCATTTTGTCTCTTTCTCTCTTGACAAGTCCAGTTTGGTATTATATTGGTTTTATATTGTTTTCATATTTATTTTACATACTTGCTATTTATAATAATTAAATAAAAATTAAAATCTATCTATATTCTTTTTTTTAAAAATCTCATACTATACCATTTATAGTGGAATTAATTGCTGATATAAATACTGAACACATATAGAGCCTTAATTAGCATTATATTGCAAAAGTTAATGTCCAGTTTCTCAAATCAGCAACTAATAAGGATATTTTTGAGTTTCCTCATTCCCCTTCTTGCTACTACAATTTTCAGTACCTTGTCACTCGTACTGTATGTATTACTCAGAATGACAAGCCATGAGCAAACACAGCTACCTTTGAAGTTGCCTCTTCTTTAGCAGGAAGTTGCGCTATGTGACCTCCTGAGGTACATGCTGACCTGAGTTTCTTTCATTCTGTTACTGCATTTTCCCCCATCTCTCCATTCCATTTTGACTCTGAAATTAAGTTTACTGATACAGACAATCAAAGAAAATCGTTAGAACAAATACCACTCAAAATATTTAAGTATCAAGGGAAGCAATGCAAGTAAATGAAATAAAACCTGTGATTCAAAATTGAAAAACTACTTTTACTGACTGATTTTGTGCTGCAAACTCACTGTGCTTGGTTTTATTATGTGTCAATAAATTCATTTTGGAGTAAAGTAGTGTCATCTTACATCTGGGATATTTGAACTGCCATAAAAGAAAGTTAGGTCTAGGCCATACACTGCTGAAGTGTATGAATCTACCTGGGCTGATGAAGTTTGCGAATGTGCTTGAAAGAATGTTTGCTTGAAATTGTATGAAAAGTATCTAGTGATGTTAGATTGTTTAAATAGATGTCAATAAGCCGACATTCTTATTTTTTTGGTGGGTTTTGTTTATAAATGTTTACTGCATGTATATTTTTTATTTGTCGTTATCGTGGTTTAGCCAGTTAGATCTGTGGACAGCCAAGATATGCAGTAGCGCATCATGGGTTTTTCTGAGCTCTTTAAACTATTAAGATACTTTTATATTGCAGCTGCACGTGGCCTGTGCTAATGGATACAAGAATGTTGCATCTCTGATCCTGGATCATGGAGCTGATCTCAATGTAGTGGATAACCAGTACTGGACACCTCTACATTTAGCTGCAAAGTATGGACAGGTAAAGCACAATTGTTTCACCTGATTCTCTTTTCTTTGTAGTAGTCTTCTGTAGCAATAGCAAATACTTTCAAGTCAAGGAGACTATTCTGGTTTTAATGTGTAGACCTTACACATTTCTGTACTATAGATGGCATCTCAAATGGCAGATCATTTGAGAATAAACACTGTAAATCCATCAACCCAATACAGCTCATTAAAATCAATCTGACATCAACAGCAGTTTTTCTCCAGCAAAAATTAAATTTGCACTGATATTTGAAAGGGCGCCGAAATAAGCACTTTTTGCTGTTATTTTCTTATATTCTGATGTCAAGCTCTGATTTTTAGTGAACTTTTTTGCCATGTACATCTCTGTGAATGAGAGTCCAGGATCCACTTAACACAGTAGCTGCCGTCAGAGTTTTACAGTCATTGAGTTGTGGAAGGGTGCCCTGGGTTTGGGATTTGGAGGCCATGCCTAAACATGACTGGTGACTCTTAACATCCCACCTTTTCACTTTTCCTTCATCCTCATTCTCCCAGGACATGCTTGATGTGCCTTTGTATAGACCACTTCAGGAGAGCTACTCACAGCTCCCACTAACCCCCCATACGGCTAACAAATCACCACTTACTCACAGCTACCTTCCAAAAACCTCTCTGATTCGTCCTAGCTCATCCTCCCACATTACTGCACTTTCTCCTGTCAGGTCTCTGCTGCAGCTCCCAGAAAACTCATCCCTTTCTATCCTTGTCTTCCACCAGGAGGGGCTCCTCTGCCATATACACAAGGCCAAGCTTCCTAGTCTTCCTCTGAATACACATTCACAGAATCACAAAATCACAGAATGGTAGGGGTTGGAAGGGACCTCTGGAGATCATCTAGTCCAACCCCCCCTGCCAAAACAGGTTCACCTACAGGTTGGACACAAATGTATCCAGGCGGGTTTCGAATATAGCCAGAGAAATAGACTCCACAACCTGCCCGAGCATCCTGTTCCAGTGCTCTGCCACCCCCAAAGTAAGGAAGTTTTTCCTTATGTTCAGATGGAATTTCCTGTGTTCCAATTTGTACCTGTTGCCTCTTGTTCTATTACTGAGCACCACTGAAAAGAGTTTGGCCCCATCCTCTTGACACCCACCCTTTAGATATTTGTAAGCATTGATGAGATGCCCTCTCAGTCTTCTCTTCTCCAGGCTAAACAGACCCAGGTCTCTCAGCCTTTCCTCATAAGAGAGAGGCTGGGGTCCCTCAATCACCTTTGTAGCCCTTGGCTGGGCTCTCTCCAGTAGTTCCTTGTCTTTCTTGAACTGGGGAGCCCAGAACTGGACACAGTACTCCAGATGTGGCCTCACCAGGGCAGAGTAGAGGGGGAGGATGACCTCCCTTGACCTGCTGGCCAGGCTTTTCTTAATGTACCCCAGGATGCCATTGGCCCTCCCGGCCACAAGAGCACATTGCTGGCTCATGGTCAACTTGTTGTCTATCAGAACAACCCTTAATCTGCACTGGTGCATGGGGTTATTCCTCCCTAGGTGCAGGACCCTTCTTTGTTAACACAAGATCCAGCAGCACACCACATCTTGATGGCTGCTCCACTGCCACCTATGTAAAAAAGTGTCAAAGCAATGTTCCTCAGAAACCTCCTGAGCTTTGCGGGCCCGGCTGTGTTGCCTTCCCAGCAAATATCAGGGTTGTTGAAGTCCTCCAAGAGAGCGAGGGCCTGTGATCATGAGGCTATTTCCAGCTGCCTGTAGAAGGCCTCATTGACTTCCTCTTCCTTATCCGGTGGTCTGTAGTAAACACCCACAACAGCATTATTCACAGAATCATAGAATCGTCTACGTTGGAAGGCACCTTTAAGATCATCAAGTCCAACCATCAACCTAACACTGCCAAAACCACCACTAAAACATGTCCCTAAGCACCACATCTACCGTGTTAGCCTGCCCCTTAATTCTTACCCATATGCTCTCAAGACATCCATTGTTTTCTTCTGTTTAGATTCCTGCTTTTTGGGATTTCTTTCCTGACACTGAATGTAGATGTAGTGAGTTAGTCAGAAAATGCTATGCATTGTAGCTGTCAAGCCATTCCCATTTCTTCAGTACTTTGCCATCTTGTAATGCCTATTTCTATCACCGTCAACCATGCTTTTAAACATAACTTGGAATGACAAAAAGTTGTTCATCCTAAACAGAACTCTGTTTTGTTTTCTTTTTTAATTTTCTAATACTTATAAATAAAAATACTCATGGACTTCTGCTGGACTATGAACTCCATAGTTAGATAATCTTAATTCTGTTTCTGCTCTCAGTGGAGACAATCCCATTCATTTAGCTCAATCTCTAGCCAATTATTGAGGAGAACTAGCTTTTCTTTTCATGTCTCTTTCAGGTATCTCAGTTGGTTTTGTTTTTCCTGTGACTAAACTTGTGAATTAAAAGATGAAGGTGCTGAGATACAAGGGGTGGGATGCAGCTGATTTTACTATAGCCTTAGTAATATGAATATGAAGCCAAATCTAGTTTTTTTGGTGGAGTTCTCTTTTTTCTTCTTCTTTTTTTTTTGAGTCTTGTGCTGCAGGTGATGCACGTTAAGATTTAAGGAATAGATTCTAAACATGCCAAAATGTCTAATGAAAAGCAAAAAAGACATGTATATAGGTAGACAGATGTAATTCAAGTACTTATGCTTATATATTATAATTCACCTGTCAGACTGTCTTCTTTAGAAAACTGCCATGTATAAAATATATTTTTAGGTTTGCAAAACCATTTAAGGATAAAATTGAGTACTTATGTTAAATATTGATTCATGTCTTGTTGCTTATTAAAATGACATACATGTATTTCCTTATTGCATGTGTTCTCATTTTCATTGAATAAATGACTTCCAACCTCTTTTTGGACTTCAGAAAATAAATAATACACTTTATAGCAAGAAGATAGTAAAAATGTAGTAAAAATAATACTAAAAATAAATGTGCTTGAGATTAGTTAGTTCTGTTGGGATATAGATTTCTCCTACTGAGATAGCCTATATCTGCTCTTTTACAGGTATGAAAGATCAGCATATTTTCATAATAGATTAAGTCATTGGTTTATATATGTATGGCCTGAAGCGTATCCTCAGCAATTTCTGGAAGGTTAAATTTACAAAGAAAATTTTTCTGCAAAAATATACTGAACTGAAGTTTTGTTAGCAAGTGAAGCATCAGTGACATTTTGCTTGTACTGTAGTTTCATTTTTCTCATCCCATTTTGTCCTGTGCTGTTTGGTAGTTGTGCTGCCCTCACTGATCCCTCTGGATCCTGCTGTGATTCTGCAGGCAGGCACCTACTCACTTTACCCATGTTCAGACTTCAGTAGGGCAAGAAAACTATTCAGTAGTATGATTGCAGTGATGCAATCTTGAGCTCGAGCTATTATTTCCTACGTTTCAGGATGGCTCGCGAGTTCAGGCATTAATGTAGTTGCACAATGGCTATAAGTGTCTTCTAGTGTGAAGCCTAAACACTGGTTGTTGAGGTTATTAAAAAAAGACTTGGAAGGATTGACCTAAAAGGACTGAGGAAGAACTTTCCTTTGGTTATATATGTGTAACATATATGTTTGCAACACTCATGTTGGATGACTTGAAATACTTTTTTTGTCATGGTTAGGTATTTTTCTTTTTGAAACAGACCCATGCATGTAAAATTTGTAACTGAAAGTGACTAATGGAAGAAAATGTCTTTCCTTTTGAAGCGTTTAAGAGCTCAGATTGCTGTGTTGTAAGATGATCTTTTTTGCTGGCTCTTTTGTTGAACTATGTCTCCGTTTATGTTCCAGCTGACGATGGCAGTGATTCTTACTATTCAGGAGTTATCAATGACAAGCAAGGGACCAGTTGTGCTGGTCACTTCACAAGCACTATGGGTACATGTGGAGGAAGACAAATGAAGTAACATTGCACTCTTCCTCACAAGAATTAATAAAATACAGAGCAAATGTCTTCCCTTTGTAGTGTTAATGAATGATATAATTTGGAGATACATTATTAGCATTGTAGATAATTTGCCGTCCTTATTTAGGAGGTAAATCTGGCTTTCATATGGATTCTGGTCATAAGAAACAAATAAATAATGTAAATACCTTTATAAGAGGGATTTATAAGATATCAGGGGAAACATTTCATCCAGTAGCTAAACCATCAGGATGTTTTTAAAATTTCCATTCTTATGATGATAATTTTGAAACATCTTTTAGCCTTAGTATGAATTCATGTGCATATCATATTTACAATTTCATTTTGAGTAATTACTTATAGACAAATACAAGCATTGTTACTGTTTGGGGGAAAAATTAGTATGGCAGAATGGGAATAATCTTAATCAAGACATGATTTGGATAATCTGTTTTAAATTAAAATATATTTATGAAGAAATAGGGGTTTTTTAGCCAAAAATAGTAAAATCTCCTGAGAAAGTCATTAATATATATTCTGGACTCCATTCCTTACGGTTTCACCCACTTGTAATTTGTGGCAGTTTTTTTTAAAAAAAAGTCTTACTTGAAAATGTGACTGTAGTGATAAATCTGTATGTTCTAGTAGAAGACTGTAAAAGAATCTGTTAGGTTTTAGTCTGATGTTCTTTTCAATTCTTGAGACGTTTTCTTTCCTTTCAGGAATGTATCTGAACAGAAAAATAGCCTTTTCTTGTCTTGTACCTTGTCTAATAAGCAATGATTCTTTAATGACTGGTCACAGAAGTTTCAAAAAACCTGTTCTAAACCACTGATGTTTAGTAGTTCACTAGCACTGCTGCAGCAAGACCTGCAGCCAAACCACATCCAATATATAATTAATATTATAGTCCATGAGTTATAAGGACTGGTAGTTTTTCCTGTTTATAAATTATCTACAAAATTCTTAATAATCCAGATATATTTTTCACCTGGATAAGCTCCTTACCTTAATAAAATGCAATTGGATTAGTTATACAAATTACACATTTAGTTTTTGAACTATTTTA